GCGTCTGTTTTTTGCTCAGACAGGACGGGGTTAAAAGAGCCGCTGATTCGGGGGCTCTGGCGCACTCAGGCCGGCGGGGAGGGAGGGGCCCGGAGTGCGGGGCGGGCCTGCGGCGGCAAAGGCTGGCATGACTTTGCACCAGCCTGAGGCGCGCTGTGCGTTCTCCCGGGGAAGTTGTCCCTGGATCCCGGGAACCTGGCAATGGCGGGCTGCACAGGCTCCGCGGAAGAGGGGTGTGGAGAGTGACCTGTGCTCGCACCCAGGCCCCTCGGTGGCGGCAGCAGCAGCCTTAGCGTCTCCCGCCCGTCTCTGGGGTCCGCGCTTTTAGCCGCGGCTTGCGCCCGTCTCTGGGGTCCGCGCTTTTAGCCGCGGCTCGCGCCCGTCTCTGGGGTTCGCGCTTTTAGCCGCGGCTCGTGCCCGTCTCCGGAGTTCCCTCAAGCAGCGTTCTTAAACTCCTCTCCTCACGCCCCAGGAAACAAAGAGGGAAGAAAAAGTCTCTTGCCTCTTCGGCAGGTGCAGACTTTTCCCCGGACTCCCTCCCGGCTAGCCGTGGTGCACTAACCCCTTCAGGCTATGTTCAAGCCGCCAACCCCAGTCCTCTCCCTGCGCTCCGTCCGAAACCGAAACCCGAGCCTCAGAGCCTCAGATCGCAGCCCCGTCCGCCCCGGCGGGTGAGCAGACAAGCCTCTCGGGCTGGTGAGTGCCGGTCGGCACCAATCCTCTGTGCGGGAATCTCCCTGCTTTGCCCTCCGCACCCGTTGCTGTGCACTCCTCCGCGGCTTCGAAGCTCCCCCCCTCCGCCCCCCGCAGTCTCCGCCCGCGAAGGGGCTTCCTAGTGTGTGGAAACTTTTCCTCCTTCACAGCTCCCTCCCACTGGTGCAGGTGCCGTCCCTATTCTTTTGTCTCTGTTTTTTCTTTTTTTTTCTTTTGCCCTACCCAGGTACGTGGGGAGTTTCTTGCCTTTTGGGAGGTCTGAGGTCTTCTGCCAGCGTTCAGTAGGTGTTCTGTAGGAGTTGTTCCACGTGTAGATGTATTTCTGGTGTATCTGTGGGGAGGAAGGTGATCTCCGCGTCTTACTCTTCCGCCATCTTCAAGGTCCCCCGGTTTATATTTTATGACATGTTGAAAGTGACTCACACCACAATACTATGTTCATTTTTGGTTTGTTTTGTTTTGCCACTACATTGCCTAGCAGGTATTTCTGGGATAGAAAATTTGCTTTTTTCGTCTGTCTGGGAGGCTAACCACCAGTTGTTTCTCCATTAAACAATGACTTTAGGGACTTTCCTGGCAGTCCAGTGGTTAAGACTTCGCCTTCCAATGCAGGGGGTTGTGGGTTCGATCCCTGGTCGGGGCCGCTTGGCCAAAACTCCAAAACATAAAACAGAAGCAATATTGTAACAAATTCAATAAAGACTTAAAAAATGGTCCACCTCAAAAAAGTCTTTTAAAAAAAATGAGTTTAAAGTTGCAACTTGCAAATGAACTTTTGGATAATGATCCATTTGTAAGTGGAAGAATGTATCCATTTTAGATATTTTCTTAGTAAAAAACCACCAACATGAATTTTTTAAATCTTTATTTTTAATAAGTGATCTCACTCTACTATAATAACCTCTTGGGTTCAACACTGATTCATAACTAAATACGAATAGTAGAAGGTGAATTTAAATAAACCTTGTGTTTGCTACATCTGCCATGAGAACAAAAGTAAGTAATGGCTTAAAAGAAATGTCCTAGAGCCACCACAAGATGGCATATGTGACACAAGAAAAAGTTACGGTTCAATAGGACAGACCATGGTTTCAAAACAAAATACCGTATACATGTTTAATCTGTAGTTGTACTCTAACTTTATATATATTTTTTCTCACCTTTAACACACGAGACGTAAACCCAGGTCACGAGTCTAAAAGCGGGCGGCTGATTTCTATCTATCTTTATACTTTTTATTTTATATTGGAGTATTGTTGATTTACAATGTTGTGTTAGTTTCAGGTGTACAGCAAAGTGATTCAGGTATACATATACATATTATTTTTCAAATTCTTTTCCCATTTAGATAAATACAAAATATTGAATAGAGTTACCCGAGCTATAGAGTAAGTCCTTCATGGTTATCTATTTTAAATAGTGTTTATATGTTAAACCAGAACTCCTAATTTATCCCTCCCAACACTATTCCCCGGTGGTCACCCTAAGTTTGTTTTTGAAGACTGTTTCTGTTTTGTAAATTAGTTCATTTGTATCATTTTTTTTTAGATTCCACATACAAGCGATATCATATGATGTTTGTCTTTCTCTGTCTGATTGACTTCACTTAGTATGATCATATCCAGATCCATTCACGTTGCTACAAATGGCATTATTTCATTTTTTTAAGGCTGAGTAATATTTCCTTATATATGTACCACATCTTCTTTATCCATCCACCCGTCGATGGACATTTTAGTTGCTTCCATGTCTGGGCTAGTGTAAATAGCCCTGCAAGGAAGGTTGGGGTGTATGTGTCTTTTTGAGTTATGGTTTTCTCCGGATATACGCCTAGGAGTGGGATTGCCAGATCATATGGGCAGCTGTTTCTTAAGGAACCTCCCTACTCTTCTCCATAGTGGCAGTCACCAATTTACATTCCCACCGACAGTGTAGGAGGGTTCCCTTTTCTCCATGCCCTCTCCAGTATTGTTTGTAGACTTTTGGATGATGACCATTCTGACTGGTACCCCTTGATACCCCCTCGTGCTTTTTTTTTCTATTGGAGTATAATTGCTTTACAATATTGTGTTAGTTTCTGCTGTACAGTGAAGTGAATCAGCTATGTGTATACCTATATCCCCTCCCTTTTGGTCCTCCCTCCCATCTGCCTATTCCACCCCCCATCCCACCCATCTAGGTCGTGTCAGAGCACCGAGGTTAACTTCCTGTTTTATAGCAGGTACCTGCTAGCTCTCTATTTCATGCGTGGTGGTGTATATGTCCGTACTGATCTCCCAATTCATCCCACCCTCCGCTTCCCCCACCCCGTGTCCACATGTCCTTTCTCTATGTCTGCATCTCTATTCCTGCCCTGCAAATACGTTAATGTGTACCATTTTCTAGATTCGATGTATATGCGTTAATATATAGTGCCTGTTACCAATTTACATTCCCACTGATAGCGTAAGAGGGTTCCTTTTTCTCCGTGTGCTTTCCAGTGTTTATTGTGTGTAGATTTAAAGATAATGGACATTCTGACTGATGGAACATGATGCCTCATTTTACTTTTCATTTGCATTTCTCTAGAAATAAGTGATGTTGAGCATCTTTTTTGTTCCTCTTGGCCACATGTATGTCTTCTTTGGAGAAATGTTTATTTAGGTCTTCTCATTGTTTGGGTTATTTTTTTATATTGAGCTTCATGAGCTCTTCGTATATTTTGGAAATTAACCCCTGTTGGTCACATCATTTGCAAATATTTTCTCCCATCCTGTAGGTTGTCTCATCGTTTCTATGGTTTCTTTTGCTGTGCAGAACCCTCCTGCACTCTTTGAAATTTATCATGAACATGTATTAATTTTATTTAAAAGTTTTAAATGATAAAAATAGTAAAAGTAGGGAAAGTCTTATATCTTTCTATTTAACAAATTAATATGTACAGTGTGATCAAAGGAATGTGTATTAGGATATGTATATGAGAAAATACCAAACTTAGTATCATTTCTAGTCATGGAAATGTGCATTTCATTTTCCTTTCTGCTTTTCTATAGTTAAAAATAATGTTCTATAGTAAACACATAATGCCTTTGTAATTCGAAAAAGGTTTATATAATAATATCCGGGTCTCTTCCAGGGAGTAATGGAGGGCACATTTGTCACTTTTTCCTGATTTCAGTCTGCTCTCCCTGCTCCTCACTTTCTGCAATTTCAAGTATCTTGTAGAAAGTATACTTTTACATGACTCGCATTTTTTTTTTTGGCTGCGTTGGGTCTTCGTTGCTGCGCGCAGAGTTTCTCTAGTTGTGGCGAGCCGGGGTTACTCGTCGTTGCGGTGCGTGGGCTTCTCATCACGGTGGCTTCTCTTGTTACAGAGCGTGGGCTCTAGAGCGCAGGCTCAGTAGTTGCAGCGCACGGGCTTAATTGCTCCGTGGCATGTGGGATCTTCTCGGACCAGGGCTCGAACCCGTGTCCCCCACATTGGCAGGTGGATTCATTTTTTTTTCTTTTTATATAGCAAGTTCTTATCAGTTATCTATTTTATACATGTTAGTGTATACATGTCAATCCCAATCTCCCAGTTCATCCCACCACCACCAACCCTCCGCCACTTTCCCCCTTTGGTGTCCACACGTTTGTCCCCTGCATCCGTGTGGCAGGCGGATTCTTAACCACTGCACCACCAGTGAAGCGCCACGACTCGCATTTTTAAAGGAAGAATTCCATTTGAATGTTTTCATTACTGACTTTTCAGTTATAAGTGATGAGTTCTGATATTTTGGCTAGTCAGCTATAAGATAACATTTGCTTATTTATGTCACTGCGTAGTTAAATGATTGTACAGTTTTTCACATAGAAACGATAAGCTCCAAGAATCATAGAAACCTAGTATAAAGCACCATATTGTTAGTCTTCATAACCAAACTATCCCCAAATTTTCATACTTGAAGTAGAAACAGGTTTGAGAGATTCGTTTTTTTGTTCTAAAGATATTTCACTTAACAGTAATCGTAATAAAGATTATTTATGTAACACATGTTAAACTTACTCTGTGTTAGGTATTTCTGTGCGCCAGGGGTAGGTAGCTAAGATGTTCATTATTTTCTCCCTGTCTCCCTATCAGTATCATTGGAAAACTAAGGTTTTAAATAAGAGGAATTGAGAAAGCTTCGTGGAATGGAGAAAATTTGAGTCAGACGTTGAAGAATAGGCAGGACTTTAAAATGTGGACTTGGTTGGGGGACAGCATGCCAGGGAGAGAAAACCCACGCTTGCTAGTCTGAAATAAACTAATGTTCTTATTTCAGGTTCAAGTTTTAAAACTGCTTTTGAATTTGTCGGAAAATCCAGCCATGACAGATGGACTCCTTGGTGCCAAAGTAAGTTCAGTAGCTTACATATTTGTTTTGTCCATACAAATATATAGATTTGGACAGACAGATCTGGAAGGAAAGGACTTACCTCAAATATTAACAGGGATTATCTCTGAGGAGCAATATTAGAGGTGGGGTTTTTTTTTTGGTTCTTTCTGCTGATATGAATTTCCTATAATTTCTGTAATGAACGTATTTTACTTTTAAAAATCATTTTGAAAAGTTCTCCCTAGCAATAATGAATTACATTTTTTCTGTCTATGTCCAATTTGGGGTACTTATATATCATCACGTTTTATATTTGACCTGCTTATGTTCAGTGTATCTTAGTATCCACTGACACACTAGTATTTATGGAGGCCGCAGTATGTGCCTGATGCCAGGCTGAGTGCCAGGATACACCAGTGAGTACAGCATTACCTGGTGCTTGTCCTCGTGAGCTTACAGTCTAGGGAGAGGAGACAAAAATATGTAAGAAAGGAGCAGTTAAAAGCTGTGGTATTTTGAAGGAAGCATAGGTTAGTGCTGTGGTAGAATGGACCTCACGTCCTATAGAAAAGGGACCCTGTCATATTCATCTGCTCAGCCCTATGCCCTGCACACTGTGTTTGGTGAATTAATGAGTTTCCATGATGACTGTATATGATGGATCTTAAAGAGGAAATGGGTGTTTTTCCAAATGACTACATTCTAGGATTCCAAGGAAATAGTATTAACCTCTTTTTTCCATTAGTATATGACATAGGAGTGCCTAAGATTTTACACATTTACGTTACGCAGTCTTAAGGATAGTTTTCTATGACAAGATCTTTAAAATGCATTTACTACAGCTTTAAAATGTGAACATACACATGGAAAATGTTTTCGTATATTTTTTAATCTTCATTGTTTCCTACTTCAGGTGGATTCATCATTCCTTTCCCTTTATGATGGCCATGTAGCAAAGGAGATTCTTCTTCGAGTTCTCACACTGTTTCAGAATATAACTACCTGCCTCGAAAAGGAAGGCCGTTTAGCTATTCAGCCAACTTTCACTGAAGGTTCACTGTTTTACCTGTTATATGGAGAAGAATGTGCCCAGAAAATGAGAGCTTTAGTTTATCACCATGATGCAGATGTGAAGGAAAAGGTAACAATGATACCAAAATTCTAACTGGTTGGTCATATTTTTCCAAAGAGTAATGCAGTCTAGAAATAATACACATAAACTTCTCATTTTTCACCTTCCTTACAAAGGGATTCTTTGAACTGCTGAATTTAAACAAACAGTAAATATCACCTTCCATCATTAACACAGCTACAACTTGCCCTGGTCTCGGACCATTTTATTGATACCAAAATAAGAGCTTGTTCTGAAACCATTTTGTTTTTATTTTGCTTTTTGCTAAGCTACTTCAGTTATCCTCTACAGGGAGTGACAGTGACCTTTTTATGTGTAAGCTACCCTTCCACTGTTGGCAGTGCTTTGCAGTTATGCATCTGGGACAGCAGCAGTATGTTTCATAAGCGCCCTAGGAAGGACCCGAGATCAATCCCAGACTCCCAAGGCCACCTGCCACTCTTTCAGGTCTGTTCTAATCATTAGAATCTATTCTAGTCTATGTAAACTGTTAGAAATGTTTCCTAGTACTCACCCACTCCCATTCAGTTTGTTGTGTATAACATACTGGGATCAATCAAAATCCATCCAAAGGCAAAGGCAATTGGTTAAATCAGTTATATAGTCTTTAAAGAGAATGAAGCAAGTCTGAATGTGCTGATATGGAAAGACATCCATGAAATATGGTTGTTTTTCAAAATACATGTTGTAGAAAAATATGACCCCATTTGTGGTTTTCTTAAATCAAAAAATTTATGCTTATATATGGACAGAACACTTTTCTATGTACACCTTCTAGTGTGTACATAGAATTTTGTGTACATTGTGTACATTTGAATTTTTTACTCTGGGCATAAATTTCATAATTTTTTTAAATAAGAAAAATGTCACAGGATTATTTTCTCCCCTTAATTGAAAGAAGTTTTATTAATTTTCACCCATATTTTACATGATTAAAATTACAAGATATGAAAAATTCTCAGCAGTTATTTTTAATAGTATTTTTATCCCATAAGCTAATCTAACAATTCGAATTCAGCCAGGTTCCCCCGTCCAGGTTTTGTAATATTCAAGTTCATAACCACCACCATGCTTAGTTATTAAGTAAATCAATTTGTAAGCAGAAGCTTTCCTAGTCATGTATTTAAGGCAAAGCTTTAAGAGAAGAGTACTTTAAATTTCATTTGTAAATACATAGATTTCCATAGGAAGTCACAAATCCTCAAACAGAAAAATGGGCTTTATCAGGGTTATCCTGATACAGAAATGAAACTTGGGAGACATATTTTTACAGTATAAATATGATGAAAATGTGAAAATTCTAAATTAGCTACAGCAGTAATAATGTACATTATGAAGGCTAAGGATCATTTATCAAGTGATGCAAACATAAGTATTAACTCCCTGAAAGGCACATTTCTTTATAACAATTTTGCTTAATCTTCCTCCTTGTTTACTGAAAATATATATTCAAAATGTACACACATTAAAACGAAGATTTGATTTCAATGTGCGGTAGCAGCATTGGATTCTAAAACACCCTCTCTTCTTTTCCTCTATTATTAGTTTGAACAAATAACGTTTCCTGGAGATGAGAGCATTGAGTTTGAAATGTCAAAATGCTAGAGAAAAGGGGGGAGTCATCTAGAAAGAATGGGAAAGTGCACAGTTCGATCTTTACCTATGTAGGTCATGGCACATCTTACCTTTTTTAGGTGGGCTTTCTCCTAATTGATGGTCCCACCCTCTTGGGCAGTGAGTTTCAAAGTGTTCTTCAGTTATCACGGGAGAAAGGGATTTCAATAAAATCTTACATGTTGGTATGGATGCTGGCTAATCAAAGAGGAAAATGAAATTGACTTAGAGGATGAGACAAATGAAAAGGTATTATGACATGTATTAGACTGAATGGAGGGAACAGAGTGGATTAGTCTTTTCAAAATTTGTTTTTGCTTTGTACATAAAACCCTTCAAAATGTGGATAGGAGAGATGAAGCTCAGTGTACTTCCTAATGAACAAAATGTCAAAGTGGAAGGAATGCAAATAGTCATAAAACTTACAGCTTACAGCTTGGAGGAAGCCTAGAAAATGAGGCAGGCCCAATTAAGTGGAACTTAGAACATAATTTAAAGTGCTTGGAGACCCCTCAGTTAAACAGTACATGTGAATACAAAATTAACAGTAAGGCCACTCAAGGAGAAGAAATAATTAAGCAAGATGTGCTTGGCTTGCTTCATAGAGCAGAGGTAAGAGATGAATTTTCCGTCTGGTGTGCAACAGCAAGGAAGGTAACCACAGAACTCTGGCTAGTATTAGGGCAACCTATGCCAAAGCTAATCCACCATAAGCCAAACATCTGGATTCCCATCTGTTTGCTAAATGTTCCTTTGGAGTGAAAAAGTGGTTTTTTTTTTCCTGAAAGTTAACGGGGAAATTTTTTGTGCTTTAGTGCCCACGAATCATATACATTCAGTTATATTACATATACATTTCCCCTTGACAGATTTGCATCTTTGTAGATAAAAATGCTAAATTTTGATAAATATTATTTACATTTATCTTGGCTATTATTCTCCAAATTTACAAAATGTGGGAGACAAAGTTGTTAGTCCTCAATGTTTAGTGTCCTTATGTGCTTGAACATATATTATCAAAAGCATTAGCCTATTTTCCACTTTCAAATCTACCTACCTGTATAAGGCAGCAATATCTGAAGATATCATTTTCTCCCTTATATTTTCCAAGTGTTTTTTTTTAAAAAAAGACTTATTTATTCTTCACAGTGTTGGGAGGTAGGTGAAAATCATCCTCTTGTTGCACGTGAGGACACTGAGGCACACTGAGCTTAGGTGACAGAGAATCCAAGGCAGAAGCAGGATTAAAAGTCAGATTAAGTGGCTAACATGCATATATATACGTGAAAATAAATTACAGGGCACTACCTGGGTAGCATTTGGTGTAGGACACCTATTTTGATTATTTTGTGTGAATAAAGTTCATTTCACTGAGGCTGGATTGGGAAGACAGAATGGGCCTCTAATCAGCTCTCTCATTTAGGAAGGTTCAGAGTAATGGAGTGCGTGTAGAGCCTGTCTAGGACTAAAACTCAGGGCAGTGGACTCCCAGAATCACTGTCTTTTTTTTTAACCACTAATATTCCACACTGGCTTAATAAAAGTAGAACCGTGCTTAAGGATCGTGTAAATATAAGAGAATCATGTAAAACAGAAAATATTTATAAAGCTCACTAACATACTGGGGTTTGAGCTAAGAAACCAGAAAAAATAATGAGTATATATATATATATATATAGAGAGAGAGAGAGAGAGAGAGAGAAGATGGAATATGGAAAGAATAAAATTTAACTCAAAGTATATGGTCTATTAACATTTAATATCTGCATTTATCTTTGTAAATTATTTCCTTGCAGCTATATTTGTGCTGAGCAGGTCTGACTTTTAGATTAAAAATAAAACATTTCACAAATCATGTTCTCATAACCACACTTCCCCTTCCTCTGCCCAGCTCAGAGGGCTTTTGATTTGGGGATTGTAGGTATGCCACAGAGTATATTATTCCTCTCTTTAAAAAAAATGGTAACTTAGCCCAAACTCCTATGTTTTTATGTTTAAAAAAATAAATCTCTTAACATTTGGCATATAACCATGTGGGGAATCAATGTCATCATTTGCTCTAACATGACTGTAAGAAATATGTTTCTATGTGCAGGCCTGTGAGAAAATCTAGGTAGGTAGTCAGCCTTGACTTACCTTGCAGAAGGCCCCTAAGAATAGAAAAACAGAAATGAGTTTTTAAAATCAGTTTTTCATAATCTCAAAACTCTACCACTAAAGTAGAATGCTTTAGTAAAAAAAATTCCATTGCAATGTTTTATGTCACTGAGACATGACTTAAAATCTACATTAGCCTTCATTATGTAAATGACCCACCTTGAACTCTTCTCTGTTTATAAGAACTGGCAATCATATTAAGCAGGTTACAACATAGAACACAAACCTGCAGAAGTTGTTTCCAAATGTAAAAAATCGTAATATTCATGAATTTCTTAGTCTTTTTGGATTTATATCCGATGATGCCTTTTTCATTAAAAGCTCCTGTGCTCATATTTACTCAAAGTTGTCATCATCAGTATTAAGGTATCTTGACTCTCCATGCTTCAAGACAAAAAAATCTTCAGTCTTAAGTCCATATCTTTCTAGAGCCTCACTCAGTTTCACTGGAGGTTCTAAGTAATGCTGGCAAAGGGCAGAGAGAAACAAAAATGGAAAAAGATTAAGCATACATATATTTGGGGGGATATGTCAAACAAGAGTTCAAACTAAAATAACCAAACAGCCTACTTACAGTAATGCTCTTCCTTTTCATTGAAGCATTAGCAAATGAGTCCATCATACTTTCTAATATAGAATCATTAAGCCAATAGAAATGTCATATTTATCAATCTGTTAACACCATGCATGTCAAATTTGGCCTTAGATTGAGCATTATTAGACTGCATGAATTCTGATTAGACTGCATGAACTCTGATCACTATTTCCCTACATGAAATCCCAGTCTAAATGGAATCAGTGCTAAAGAATTAAGTGTTACCAATAGTTTGGGAGAACAGAGAAACTTAGATTATAAGGAAGAGTATGTGTGTACAAGCAAACGCTAGAGAAAATATTTTTTGGCTGAAGGAGGGTTGTCATCCCCAAACCCCAACCAAATACTGATTCTGTAGTCTATGGATTGAAGAGGGGCCTCAGGAAAAGAGATTTAACAGGTGGAGTTACCTTTTGTTTCCTCACCTTTTCATAACTCAAAAAAAAATAAAGACAGCACACTGTTGAAGAATGTTTCAACATACGCAAATGTTTACCAAATAAATTGAAACCACCTGAACATGTGTTATAGTTAAAGAAAGCAAAAGGTATAAAAGAAATCATTTCACCAGTTATTTCTCTTTCGAGCTAAATATTTGCAGTGTATAGTAGCTATTTTTACAGCAAATAAAGGAAAAAAACAGGTATTACACAAAGGGTTTTTTCCCCAATTTCAATTAGAAAAGCTATAAAATGTTAAAATTAAAGCAGAAATAAAAATCAAACAGTCTCTACTCTGATC